TCTCTCTCTCTCTCTCTCTCTCTCTCTCTCTCTCTCTCTCTCTCTCTCTCTCTCTCTCTCTCTCTCTCTCTCTCTCTCTCTCTCTCTCTCAGCCGCTCCTCCTCCTCGTCCTCTCTCCCCCTTCGATCGCTCGCTGAGGTTGCTGGGATCCCGACTTGGTGGATTCCTGAATGGGCGTAAGACACACTGAGAATCAAACTCCCGATTGCTGGGATCCCGACTTGCCGGATTCCTGAGGCTTCCGCTCTGCTCTTGATCGGATGGCCGGCTCCGCTCTTAATTGGATGAATGAATGATGACGTGGCAGCCCGTGATTGTCTCTGGCGGCGGCGCCTCCAACTGACGTTGCAAGCGGCAATGGCTGGCGACCTCGAGACCGGCCTAATGAAGTCACGCACGATGTCCAGATACAGGCAAGAAAGTCTCAGTGTGCGACGTGTCCGTTTAAAGCCTAACGGGGAGGGAATCTGGTCATTATGCGACCAGATACAGTCAAGAAGCGGGCGTACACGTGTTCGTTTAGAGCGAGAGCGAGTGCCACGTGCCTGATTCACCTCTCGATTCAATTGAAGCCCGATCTATCGTCCATCGCTGTCTGTTATATCCGACGAGAGGGAATCCGGTCACTATGGCGACCAGATACAGGCGAGAAAAGGAATCGCCGATGACTGGAGTTGAGAGGTGACGTTGGCATCCGTCCGGGCGACTGGGGGGTTAACTTCGAACTTGAAGTTAGCGCTTGAACGGACGTGGTTTTGCGAATGAATTTGGTCAGCCTGAGCGACCAGGTACAGGCAAGAAAGGCCAACTGTGAGTACGCCGACAGGTTCTGTAGCAACGTGGTTTTGCGAATGAATTTGGTCAGCTATGGCGACCAGGAACAGGCAAGAAAGGCCAACTGTGAGTACGCTGACGGGTTCTGTAGCACCGGTAGCCGACAGGCAGCGGCAGATGATGGAATTGTGAGCACGAGGCTTCTCTCCTCTCGAAGCCTGCGGTCCGCGACCGTAATTGAGTGAGATGCCGACCGGTCGTCCGTCGTCGATTGTGGTGTGGCAGTCGCTGCCGACAGAATTATGCGGAAGAGCGAAAAAAACTCTCTACTCGATGGCCGTTGCAGCAGGGCACACGAAACGAAAAACGAAACGGATGTATCTTCCGCCAGAAAATTGCCAGGTCCATCGGTTTGCCATAAAGAGTCACGAGTGTATTTTGCCAGCTTTGGCGGGAAGATGCACTCGTTTCGTTTTCGTTTCGTGTGCCGTGCGGCGAGACCTTGGGCCTCGCTGCACTACTCTCGACATGCACAAAAGACAAAACAAAAATGATGGCGGTGTATCTTCCCATATTCTAGCGGAAGATTCAGTCTCGTTTTGCACATTTCGAGAGTAGTGCAGCGAGGCCCCCTATCCAGCCTTGGGATTCTCGCCGGCATTTGAGCTACCGGTCGCCCGACACCACTCAGAAATTGTACCGCGACAATTTTGTTCGAGTGGTATCGGGCGACCGGTGGGTGGCTCGAGTGCCGCCGCGGATCAAAAGGCTGAAGAGTTTTGCTCTTCGGCATAATCCCAGGACCACGCAGCGGTACTGGCCGATCTGGCGTACTACCGGTCGCCGCTCAGCTGCCCGTCCTCTGTTCAGTTCAGATACTACGACCGGTTACAGAGGCTGCCGGCCGTCTCGTGCTTCTCCCCAAGGTGACCCCCTCCCCCCCCCACCTATACCACTAGGTTCTAGGTTCTGTGCAGCCGATCTGTGAAATGAAATCTACGGTCTTCGTCGAAGGACTGTCGTCACTATGTGGGACCTCACGATGAGGGACCTCGCCCCTGCTGGTCCTTTCTTTAGAGACCGGACATCCAGTGGGGCTAAGGGCGAGCCTTTGGAAGAGGCAGGGGTGATCGGAACTGAGACAGCAACGGACTGGTCTGAGTACCTCAGTTGGTACACCCAAAAAGTGTTGAAATGCAGACTTGTGTTCGAACTCAAATGGAACCTGATGAGTCATAACAACTTTGCGTTTACCTGGGACTGGTCAGTTCAAAGATGGCAGCAAGCCTTTGGAAAAGAACCTTCAGAAACGCAAAGCTTGGAGTCTGAACGGCCGCAGTAGAGCAGGGCAAGGCTTTTTTTTTTTTTTTTTATGATTGGTGCTATGTGCGATCTATAGAGACTATGAAAGACTGGGCCAGTAGCTGTCGTCTTTTGAATGGTCGTTACTCTTCAAACCGCCTGCACTATATGATCGACAGTTCTAAAAAAATTGATGTGAGGCTATGGGGCCGGGGGGAGGTTGCGGGCGGGGGGGGCGTTGGGGGGGAATGCACGAAATTATGAATACCGCAAGTTTGGCAAATTTTAGTTATGATGATAGAAAGTTATGGAAAAAATCAGTGATGCAAATTAGGCTCCGAGGCATCAAAGGAAAAACAAAAACAAATCAATTAGTATAGGAAAACATATTTATACTAAATCAAGTGTGTAATTTTAAGCTCTCGACTTCAACAATTTTTAGTTATGATTTTTAACCATAGAAGTTTCCCCAAAAATTACGGATGTAAATACCATATAAGAGAAAAATAAATAAACATAATTTCACATATAAACAAAAGTTTATGTCAAACCAAATGCATCATTTCTCTCTCTCTCTTTCTTTCTCTCTTTCTTTCTCTCTTTCTCTCTCTCTCTCTCTCTCTCTCTCTCTCTCTCTCTCTCTCTCTCTCTCTCTCTCTCTCTCAACCTTTGTAATATCATCATCAAGTTAAATGGTTCCAAGTAATAATGACTTATTTTGTTCGTTCATAAGTTAAACTAAAATTTATTTATTAACGATTTATGAGTGTACCATTCAAGAATATGGGTCTCGTACGACTTGTTAACTTGGCTTGTTCGAATTGATTGAGGACAAACCAATATAATGTTGGACGTTTTAAAATGTCAGGCACCTTGATCTTTTTTTTTTACTTGGAAATATCAAAGCAACTTTTTTCATCACAAGGAGTTTCCCTAAGGGTAATAATTTTGCCCTTGATTATTATAAGCCCCTACCTATTTACTTATATTGTTTTAAGAACCTATCTACACATATAAAAATTTCCTCTTAATTCATATTACAATAAGTTTATTCCCCAATCCATTAACTTTTGAAATCCTTAAGTTCTTTAATTTTTTTGCCTTGTTTTATTTTCTTTTTTAGTAATAAAATGTTACTTATTATATGTTATTGTTGTTTAGCGATTTGTTATTATAAAGTATTATTTTTTTATTTTTTATTTTAAAAGGTATATAATTTTTCATATTACTCATAAAATATAAAAAATGACAACACTATTTACTTTCATGTATAATTTTGTATACTTCAATAGTGAGGATGAGTATTGTACAACAACGTTTTGTCTCACGTGAATTTTATACGAGTGAATAAAAGTCGCAAGGTGTTTTACCGCATTCACAACCTTATAGTTGACGTGCGTGCATAAAAATAGTGAGTGTTTCAATTCCTTTTATTTAATTTTTGTCGATAGGTATCAAACGTAATATATGTTGCAAACGAACGCTAACCCTCACACGAGTCAAAGTGTTCGATTCATTATGAATTTTGTTTTTGCATACCTGAATTTTGTGTCACTGTTTATCATTAGCTAATTATTAGGATAGCCAACAAAACCTATATAATAATTTTTTATATTATTTGTTTGGTTTGATAAGTCTTTCCTTTTATCTCAATATACATGATCATTGCTTTGTATCATAAACACTCCGCCTGGGGAGTACGGTCGCAAGGCTGAAACTCAAAGGAATTGACGAGGGTCTGCACAACCGGTGGAGCATGTGGTTTAATTCGATACAACGCGCAAAACCTTACCAACTCTTGACATATGAAAGAAACTCCTCGTAAGAGATGTACTTTGACTTCATACAGGTGTTGCATGCACTTATAACCTAATGACATTTCCATCGATTTATGATAAGTGTCACTCGGAAGGGTCGATGACTACATTCGGGACATACATTAGAATTTTTTTATATCATCATTTTGATTTTTTTTTTTTTTATTGTAAGATAAGCTACCATAATGGTTTG